TGCTGGGCAATAAAATAATAAAAGAATTTTAAAAACGGATTTGGATTTTATAAATGCTGAAGTAAGTTGCTCATGGTGATGCAATGTGAAAGTGGATCAACCTGGGACAGCAGTAGACCCAAATATGTTTGACCAATGTGGAAGTATGCTCCCACTTTTCCTCACTCCACAGAGTTCTAACTTGTACAAAGTGCTCTGTACCATTTTTGAGCAGTCTCTGTCAATGTTTTAGTTAATGACTGGCTGGTACTCCTAAAATTTGGAATAGCAGGTGCATGCATGGCACTACAGCTCTGCCCATTTGTGGGTGAATATCAATTCACATTCAACAAACAGCCTCAGCACCCTGCACTTCCTGTACAAGGTGCACACATTTGTTTCAATCAGCCAATCTTTGAAATTGTGGGTTCCAATTTGCAGATTGGTGCAACATTTACACCAGAAGTTCAGCTCAACCAGAAATTCATTCCCATTTTCATTTACCAAAAGTAGAAAAAGCAAGACCAAAAAATTCTCTTTATATGATCATATGGCACTTCAACTGTCAAATTATCATCTTCTGAATTTTTGTTCTTTATTATTCAATTCAGCAGGGCTGACTTTAACTGCTTGTTTTCTTTCCTAACAGACTTTATCAAAGAATTTCAAGCAATGTCTTTTCTTCCACTGCCACACCATTACCTGTGGAGTCCTGAGGATTTTGGCATTCTCCTCATCAATATCCAATGGATACACCATGGCAACAATATCCAAAGACAATATCAGATTCTATAGATAGTCTGAACTGCCAATGCTGGAGAATCTGATACATCCATTGGAGGGCACCCAGTTCCACCTCTCTCAACCATCCCACTGCGTCCATTGTTAAATTGTTTCCATAACATTTCATCTTGGAATAGCTGTACTTTCCTCCATTTAACCATCTGGATGATTAAAGGCATAGTCATCAAAAACTCCAACTTTACCTCTACTTCGATTAATCTTTTCAGCTGCTGTCTTAAGTTGGTTCAGTCTGCTCACAACCTCAAATGTCCTCAGTCTGAGTTTTCAACCTCACAGTCTGTCCATCACAAAGACTGCCCTTTCCAACTTGGCCCCCTCCCTGTCTCTCCCTCAACCCAACTACTTTGGAAGCTATCATCTGTGCATTTCTTCTCTCCACACTCATCTGTTCCAATTTTCTTTTGGCCAGCCTTTGATCCTCAGCTTCAGTGATTGCAGCTTCTGTATAAGCTAAGTTGTCATATTCCATTTCAACATTTCAGTCACCATTAAATTTAACAAAAAAGTATTACATTTTCTAATTTAAGTGAAGTTTCTTTTAAAGCTGAGGTCAAGGGAAAATCAATACTTTTAGCGATGCTGAATGTCAAGATCACTAATATGTTTCAGACAAGCCAACATTACTAACGGAGTAGGAAGTTGTTGAAACTTAAACTGCCACCTTGTCTAATGCAATGGAATTAAAGATGAACAATTGCACATCTTAAAATAGGAAAACACAAAACTAATAAGACCAAAAATGCTAGAAATTAAAAGCAGATCTGTGGAGAGAGAAATAGAGTTAACTCAGAGGTCCAAAACAAGATCATCCATCTTAATCATTTGTTGTTTCTCTCCACACACATCCTGTAATAACTACACAGCACATCCAACTATTGCTGCTCTTACTTCAGATTTTGCGTATCTACAGGATTTCAAAAATGCAAGGGGTATGACAGGAAGAACTTCATTATGTGCCTAGATGTAATGACTTGGAATGTGCCTTCTATGGGTTCAATGGTAGCAGAACCAATCTATGATTTCAAAAGAGCATTGGTTAGATGCACAAAGGAAATAAACTTGGAGAGCCACACGAAGTGAGCAGGGGATTAGGACTTACTGATTGCCAAACAGAATAATAGCTTGGACTCAAGAGGCTCAAAGGGCTCCTACCATGCAGTGAGTAACTCTGGGGCTGTTATCAAAGCAGACTGTCGAGATGAAAACAGGTGGAGAAATGTTTAAAGAAAAGCTTGTCTGATTTTCCTTCATTTCAATTAAATTTAAAAATTGGGCTCCCTTGCGGCATGGCATCATACCTGTTTAATTTGGTCTGTGTTTCAAGCTTACATTAATTAAGCCCAGGTACTATTGTTCAAATTGTCCCTTTTTTTTAACAAATAGAATTGAGCATACAAAATGACCATGTTTTCTTTCTGTCAAGTGCCAAGTTTAAATCTTAGAGTTCAGTCTCTGGTGACAACATTTTGAATAACTGGGTTCCTCAAAGGTTTTGTACAGCATTGTATGCACACGGGAATTTAATTGATGGGTGATGCAGAATGTATATGCCTGCTTTATTCCCAGTGGTGATTAACATTTCTTCAGCATAAGCTCCCAAACGTGTGACCTCCGCTACCGAGAGGACATGGGCAACAGCTGTGTGGGAGTAGCATTAATCAACAGTTTGCACCAAAGATACAAACTACCCAGAACAGTTAATCAAGTTCCATCATTATTGCTGAATCAAAAGCCTGAAAATGTTTAACCATATTGTGGGACTAATTTCACAAGAGTGCAATAATCCATGAAGACCCACCAAAGACAACAGTGGATGGGTCACAAATGCTACAGTTTGTGTCAGTGACTCCCATATCACAAGAACAAAATTGGAAAACATCGGATAGCAAAGTTGTATATAGCCAATTTGACTGTATAGTTTACATATGCTGATGTCTGCACCATCTGGAAACCCAGTGTTTGGATAGATCATCATCATATCATGCATTAGATTATTTGATGTAGCGTCAACTTCACCTGCTTGATCTCAACTCCCGGAGTGGCTCATTTGGTTCAGCGGATCTTTGTAGTAAACTCTCATGCAACATTTCTAGTATCATTCGAATGAGAGTGGCAACAAGGAGCACTAACAAAACTGGAGTCACTGGGAATTGGGAAAAAGCTCTCTACTGGTTGGAGTCTTACATGGCACAAAAGAAAATGGCTGTGGTTGTTGGTGGTTAGCCACCCCAGCTCCAGGACATCTTTGCAAGAGTCCCTCAGAGTTATGTCCTTGGCCTAACCATCTTTAGCTGCTTCAATGATCTTCCCTTCAAGATCAGAAGTGGGAATGTTTGCTGATGACTCTGTAGTGTTCAGCACCATTTGCAATTCCTCAAACACCATAGTAGTCCATGCCCAAATACAGTAACACCCAGACAAAATCCAGGTTTAGGCTGACAAATGGTCAGTAACATTCCTGCCACACAAGTGCCAGAAAATGACTATTTCCATCAAGAAAGAATCTAACCATCATCCCTTGACATTCAATGAGTTTGCCATCGCTGAATCCCCCACTACTAACATCCTGGGAGTTGCCATTGACTTCAAACCGAATTGGACTAGACATACAAGTAAAAGCTAAAGTGAAAGTGGATGCTAGAAATCTGAAACAAATAGAAAACTCTGGAGAAACTGCCGGAGCCATTTAAGTACTGTGGCTACTACAGCATGTCAGGTGCTGGGAATCCTGCAACGAATAATTTACCTGACGCCCCAAAGCCTGTCCACCATCTACAAGGCACAAGTCAGGAGTGTGATGGGATAATCCCTACTTACAAAGATGAGTTCAACTCCAACAACTCTCAAGAAATTTGATACCGTCCAGGACAAGCAGTCCATTGAATTGGCAATGCATCTTCAAAACATTCCACTTCCTCCACCACTGATGTTCAGTGATAACAGTGCAGAGCATCTACAAGATGCAGAAATTCTCCAAGGCTCCTTAGACAGCACCTTCCAACCCCAAAACAACTACCATCTAGAAAGACAGTGGAATCAGATACATGGGAATGCCACCACCTACAAGCTCCGCTCCTCCCCACCACAATGACTTGGTAATATAATTGATGTTCTTTCAATGTTGTTGAGCCAGAATCCCTAATGTCATGCTGGGTCTACTTACACTAAATGAACTGCAACAGTTCAAGGCAGCAGCTCACCACCATTTTTAATGGCAACTCGGAAAAGGCAAAATTTGCTGGCCTAACCAGTGCTACCCACATCCCAAGAATTAATACAAATGAAAATATAATTCTAAGAAGGTCCCACAGAGGAAATCTGCATCCTGGATGGGAATGGAGAACAGTGTTACATATGGACTAAAAGGTACCTGTTGAAGAAGGCCACAATATATTCAATTCAGAACAATCACAAATAAATCTTAAATGAACAATGGTTTGCATCTCATCTACAATCCGATCCATAAGAGATGCGTTTTCACTTGTTTTGTTCATTTAACTATTATGGGCTTGCAGTGCCTAGAGTATTGGGTCAGAAATACCCTCATTATTCAAATCTGACCAAACTGAAATATTTTTAAAAGTGCTATGTGGAAGAAAATACATTTAGTCAATTACATCAGGCGTATAAAAATCTGGTCGTACCATTAACATCAAATGGTCATTGCTGTAGATGTGTTAGGGAAAGAAAGATGAAAAGCTCACCAGAATTTTTTTTTTTGCACTTGATTTCTTGCATTGCCTGTACTAAATAAGAGTGAATGCAAAAATGAGGATATTTTCAGTTTGCCCTGCCTATGTTTCAATAGTACAAAAGTACAATACAAGTAAATAACTATCAATTAACTAACGATTGGCTTGGTTGTTCACACAGCAGATCCTTCAATGAGGTTTTGTTCCTTTACTGCAGTACAAAATGGAGTTAATTGGAAAATACAGGAAAACATTTCTAATGAAGGACAACCTGTCAATTGGTGCAAGGGATTGGAGAAAGACCTGGAAATTAGACAGTAGTGAGCCAACAAGGTAAGTACCATCAGAGATAAAACCAGAAACCATGCAAAGAACAACAATGAGAATCAATTTGGGTTCAAGTAACTGGAAGTTATGTTCATCCTCCAGTATTTTAAATACACTAAGTAAAGGCATGCAATATGTGAATTACATGACTACATTTTTTACTCTAGGCACGTGAATCTAAATATCCCTCCAGATTACCTTTGTGCTGTTGGAGAAGATATCTCCGAGAATTTGGAACTTTGCTGCCGCATTCCTTGCGGCTTACTGTGACTTTCTGGAGCTGAAGGGGCCTTTGTAGAACTTGATGCAGTTGTGCACTCAGAATCAGAAGCAACTGCCTTTGCTTTTGCCTTCTCTTTCTCGCGATCAGTTTGATTCACTGGTACTGAATTTGCTCGCCCCATACCAACTTTTGAGGGTTCTTTCAGTCGAGAAACCGGGATGCCTCCATGCTTGCTGCTAATGAGGCTCGGATCAATGTTGCTACTAACAGGCCTATTTACGCCTCCACGGCCAGTGATGCTAACAGAACTTGATTTGGCTGGACGTGGCAAGCTACGATATTGCACGGCTGTCCTCGCTCCTGATGACATAAAGCCGTCATGGTTTTGGGAAACATCAAGACTGGTTTTCCTGGAGTTTGTTGGCTTCACAGGGATGCCTGTCGATTTCTGAGTTTTTGTTGCTGATGCTGTGTTTCCACCGGATGTCATCACTGTTGCTGTGCCTGTAGTAGGCTTCTTGTAGCCAAAAGATCCACCAGTAGAAGGTCTTGAAATGCCTGATGGAGGTTTGCGTGTTTCTCCTACTCTGTCTCGGCTAGCATCAGATGAGGATCTTTGTAATGTTGTTCCTTTGAGAGCTAATTTTCCTTTGTCTTGTACTTTAGAAGAATCAATTTTACCTAAAAATGCAAAAGAAAGAATGAAGAGGAATTAAAGTAAACAAGTACAGACAATATAATGATTTACATTGCTAACACAAGGTATTAAATCTTTTTGTTATTTACTGTTCATGTTGCATTAAGAACTCCCTCACCAAAAGCTCCCTCATTTACTGAGAGTTCTCAATATTTCTTCTTACTGTATTTACTTGCTGGTTTTATTTCAATATGTTACATTGTGCAGCTTTTTCTTCAAAGGAATCTTTTTTCCTTATTACAACAGCAATGACAAAAAAAAGGCTCAAGATGTGACAAAACTCACAGGACTAGATGGTTTCCATCCGAGAGATTTTATGAAGCAGATGAAAAATTTGCTAGGAAATTGGGCAAAATTTCTTCGATTTGGGAGCCATTCCTTTAGGATGAAAGATCACACACCTCCCCCTGCTATTTAAAAACAGGTACAGCGGGAGATCAGAGAATTATAGGCCAACTCAGCAAACATATGTAGATGGGAAATTACTAAAAATTTAAGATAGCAGTTTGGCTTTTCACAGTGTCTGCAAGCTTCTAAAATAGCAAACAAAAACATTACCGGTAAACCAGCTGATTGAAAAAGTTTTAAGAGTCAACAAAAGACAGTCAAAAGAAAATAAAGTCAGAAAATCAACTATGAGGGTAAGGAAGCAAGTGATATAAAACTAGATGGTAAGAGCTCTTTAAATATATAAAATGAAGTCAGGGGTCAAAGCGAACATCGGTCCTTAAAAAAAGGGAATCAGGAAATGACAGAGGAATTCAATATTTTGCAACAGTCTTCGCAGAAAACAATAATAGAATTCCAAAAATACCAAATTAAGGGGCAAATGGAAGGAAATAAATACAATAACTATCACTAGAGAACTAAACTGGGAAACTACTGGAGCTGAAAGGTTGTTAGGTACCCTGAACCTGATGAGTTGGATTCTAGGATACAAAAGAAAGAAGCTGAGATAGGCACTGGCAGTAATCTTCAAGAATCTCAGACTCTGGAAAAAGTCTTAGACAATTGGAAAACTGCTAATATAACACTCTTACTCAAAAAGAGGGATTAAAAACAAAGCAACTTTGGACCAGTTAGCATAACATCTGTCACTGGGAAAACATTAGAGTTTATGATAAAGGATGTAATAGCAGTGCATTTAGAAATAAATAACATAATCAAGCAGAGTCAGCATGGCTTTGCGAAGTTGAAATCATACCTCACAACTGTAATAGAATTTTTTGAGAAGTTGACAAGCAGTACAGGTAACGGGGAACAATTAGATACCTGGATTTCCAAAAGGCTTTCAACAAGGTACCACACATTAGGCTACTTAATAAGTGCCCATAGTATTAGGTGTTTTATATTAGCATGGATGGAGGATTAGTTAACTAATCGAATACCAAAGAGCTGGGATAGAGCTGGGATATAATACAATGTACAGATGGAATGGCAATTGATCAGGTTAACAGTGTATACAGAGGATATAGATAGATTACATGAGTGGACAGAAAATTGGCAAATAGAATATAATGAGTGAAAATGTGAGGTTATGCATTTTGGCAGGAAGAGGAGATGACTGTTACTTAAATGGAGAAAGACTGCATAAAGCTGCAAAACAAAGGGATTTGGGGGCTCTTGTGCATAAATCACAAAATATTAGCATTCAAGTTCAGCAGGTAATGGAGCAGAAAAATAGGGAAGACTTGTTAAAACTTTATAAGACACTAGTCAGACTAGGTAGGAGCAAGTTACTGTACTTGCTGGAATCTGTACTGAAAACAAATGTTAGAGATCACAGCAGGATAGGCAGCATCCATGGAGAGAGAGCAAGCTAACATTAGCTCTGATGAAGATTCATCTAGACTCAAAGTGAAGTGTGGAGGGGGCAGCATTTACGCTACAGTTGTTGGGGGGTGTTTGAGTGTGGAATGCTCTCCAAAGGATGTTGATAGTTTAGATTAAGTGATCAGAATATGAGAATGGCAGAACAATAGTGTGTCTAACTGCCTACTGGAAACAACAGACAGTCCCACTTGAGTAGGGGGAGGGGAGAGAAGACTAGTCAGACTACACCTGCAATAATGTGAACAGTTTTGGTCCCCTTATCTAAAGACATACTTGTATTGAAGGCTGTCCTAAGAACATTCACCAGGCTGATACCAGCTATGAAGGGCTTAGCTCAAGAGGAGAGATTGAGTTGGTTGGGCCTGTACTCATTGGAATTTTGAATAATGAGAGGCAAACGTATGGAAACTACGAGATTATTAAGGCACCTGATGTAGATATGGAGAAATTATTTGCATTGGGATACTCTCTAACCATAGCACATAATCTCAGAGTAAGGGATATCCCATTTATGGCGGAGATGATAGAAATTTCTTCTCTTAGAGTGTCACAAATCTGTGGTTTCTTTTACTGTAAAGCACTGTCGAGGTTGAACCATGAAGTATAATAAAACTGAAATAGACTGATTTCCCAGGGAATCAAAGGTTATGGGAGAAAGACAGCAGAGTGGAGTTGAGTATGATCAGATCAGCCATGATCTCATTGAATGGTGAAGCAGACTCATTGGCCAAATGGACTACAGTTAGTTCTGATATAACGCGATAGTTCTCACAATAGCTGCACCATTTAAACTAATGGGGCCAGAATCGCGTTGTAGCCAATACAGGCGAGGAAAGTTCACGTTCCACAAATAGTGTTCTAAATTTTCAATCGCATTAAAGCCAATCCGCGTTGAAGAAACATGTGTTATAGCAGAACTGACTGTACTTATATTCTTCTGTCTTATCATCAGATGGGCCTCAGATGCTGAGCTACTGCTAATTTTTCCAATCAATCCAATTTCTGCCAGTATGGGAAAGAAGGTGGGATGTAATTTACACATGATGGAAACATGAATTCAGCAGTGACATTTGAACTCAGTGTTAACGTTGAACAAAAACCATCTTGGCTGTTCCAAGAGCTGTAACCCAGGTGTGGAAGTTACAAATTCTTGAAGTAGAAGTAAAGCCCAAAATTGGCAGATAATTCTATGTCACTCATGATTTTAAATGTGACACCCACTAAAAATGAAGAAAGTACCATGCTGCAAGTGATGGATACAGGGGGGTGGATGGGGGAAATCAGTGGAGACAGTGAATCAATTGACAATGGACAGTGTTGACTCATAAGCTTGCTTGCAATCGGTCAAATAATACGCCTGGATGTGTTGGTTGTTCTTTACAGTGAACAATTCTTCAAAATGGTTATTTTTATTAATTTTAAGTTATTTTTGGCACAGGTGCCATTAATGAAGGTGCTTTTAGTCGCTATTGCTGAAGGCAAGAGGCCTAAAACGTTGTAAGACAACTGGGTCAAAGTCTGAGGGAACTGAAACAGAACTTCTAACCAGCCAGCATTGGCAATCAATCAATCAGTTGCCTCCTTGACAGTTTGCACAGCTTTCAGGGATTATCGCCTCAATTCCATCCTGTAGCCAGGACCCACATCAAAACGTTTAAAGGCACTTTAAACAGGAACTTGCCGAACTTGATCCACATGTCACAGTGAAAATCCAGCTTAGTGTACCTGAACACTTTAAACTGTCTGCTGATCAGAGAAAGCCAGCATGAATTTGTAAAGCGTCATGCCTAACAAATCTAACTGAATATTTTAAGAAATTAATAAAATAATAGATGGAGAAATACCAAGAGATGGCATTTTTATGGGTCTTCAAAGGCATTCCATCAAGCCTGTCAAGAATTTTCTTCCTAAAATCAAAGCATGCAAGGTAAATTAGGTAGTCTAATTAGCAAAATGTGACTCATGGTGTCCATTGGAGTCTGAATTATTCACTGTGCTTCCTAATGATTTAGATGATAGGATAAAAAGCCTCACTTCCAAGTTTATCAATAACACAAAGATAAACTCATGAAAAGTGATGTAAATGGAAGCACAAGATATTAATGGATTAAACAAAATAGTGGCAAATGGATTTTAACAAGCATGACATAATCCATTTTGTACCTAAAAATAATACATCAGTACTTTCTGGTAGTGAATTGAAACATTGTACAAAGATGCACATCATAGAGGCATATAATGAGATTAGAGCAGATGACCAACAGCAAGGTTAAATAATGTAGATTTTAAAGAAACTCTCAAAAAGGAGGAAAGGTAAGTCAAGGGGTTTAAGGCTGAATTCCAGGGCTTAGGGTCGAAACAGCTGAAGACCAACGGTTGAGCAATTAAAATCAAGGGTGTTCAGATGCCATAACGTGAAAGGCACAGATATCTCACAAAGTGTAGAGCTGTAGGAGGATGCACAGTTAGAAAATGGCCAGTAATAGTGGGATTTTGAATCAAGGATAAGAATTTTAAAATTGAGCCCTGTTTAACAGGAAGGCAGTGTGTGTCAGAGAGTACATGAGTCATGAATGAGCAATTGCAACTCCAAGATAGGACACAAGCAGAGTTCTAGATAACCTCAAGTTTACAGAAGGTAAAATATGGTGAAAGTCAGCCAGGAGGGCATTGAAGTCGTCAGATATGGAGGTACCAAGGGTACAAGGAGATTGAAATTAGCAGCCTTTGTGACTGCATGGTTTTGTGTTGAAATCTCATTGCAGAGTCAATCATGGAATTGATCTGCAGCAGGTCAGCCTAAGACATTTGTCAGGAAGAGGAAATGGAGCTTGTTATAAGGAGTGAAGACAATATATTTGATCTTTCCAATATTTAATTGGAAGAAATTTCTGCTCCAAGTACTGGTACTGGAAATGTAGTCTGCCAATTTAAAGATAAAGAAGGAGTAAGAGAGGTATCAGGGAAGTCGATCTTAAAGTCATGCAGTATAGAAACAGGCCCTTTGGCCCACCATGTCAATGCTGACCAACTAACACCAAACTACACTAATCCCACTTACATGCACTTGGCCCACAGCCTATGTCCTGACATTTTAAGTACTCATCCAGATATTTCTGTGGCACAATATTTTAGAACAGAACTCCCAAGA